CACCCATCATCAAGTCCCCTGTCACCCCTAAGTCCCGTGTCAACCCTAAGTCCCCTGTCAATCATCACTAAGTCCCCTGTCACTCATCACTAAGTCCCCTGTCACTCATCACTAAGTCCCCTGTCACCCTCTACCTAAGCTCCCTGTCACCCCTCACCAAGTCCCCTGTCACCCCTAAGTCCCCTGTCACCCATCACTAAGTCCCTCACTAAGTCCCCTGTCACCCATCACCAAGTCCCCTGTCACCCCTCACCCCCAAGTCTTCTGTCACCCCTCACCAAGTCCTCACCCCCTAAGTCCCCTGTCACCCATCACTAAGTCCCCTGTCACCCCCTACCTAAGCCCCCTGTCACCCCTCACCAAGCCCCCTGTCACCCCTCACTAAGTCCCCTGTCACCCCCTACCTAAGCCCCCTGTCACCCCTCACTAAGCCCCCTGTCACCATCACTAACTTCCCTGTCGCCCCCTCACCAAGTTCCCTGTCGCCCCCTCACCAAGCCCACTGTCACCCCTCACTAAGCCCGCTGTCATCCTCTCACTAAGCCCGCTGTCACCCCCTCCCTCCCTGACTCTGCCCTCTGTCACCCCCTCACTAAGCCCGCTGTCATCCTCTCACTAAGCTGCTGTCACCCCCTCCGTCCCTGACTCTGCCCTCTGTCACCCCCTCACTCTGCCCCCGTGAGCCCCTCCCTCACTGACAACTGTCACCCCCTCACTGTGGCCCTCACTCTGCCACCTGTCACCCCCTTTACCCTAATTCTGACACCTGTCACCACCTCCTTCCCTCACTCTGTCCCCTGTCACCCCCACCTTCCCTCACTCTGTCCCCTGTCACCCCTACCTTCCCTTACTCTGTCACCCCATCGCTAAGCCCCCTGTCACCCCCTCCTACCCTCACTCTGACCCCTGTCACCCTCTCCCTCTCTGACACTGCCACCTGTCAACCCCTCCCTCAGCCACCTGCCCACCCTTCACTCTGCCACCCCTAACTCTGTCACCCCATCCCTCCCTCAGCGACCTGTCACCCCCTTTCACACTCTGTTAATCCCTTCCACAATCTGTCACCCCCTTCCACACTCTGTCACACCTCTCCACACTCTGTCAGCCCCCTCCACTCTCTTTCACGACATTTCACACTCTGTCATCCCCTCCACTCACACACACAGTCTCCCCTTTCGACACCCTGTCACCTCCCTCCACACACCCTGTCACCATTCCCCACACACACACTGTCACCACAGACAAAATGCACAAAGGCCACAGTCCATATACAAAAAATACCTCAAGCAGCTACCACACACACATACGGTCCTAGACACAAACATACACATGCTCACAGAAACATACATTCACATACAAGGGTACTCACTGTCAGACGCACTCTCAGGCACATACACAGACAGACAATGCCAGACACATTCAGAAATACACACAGCCAGATAAACACATTGTGACTGTATGTCTGTATTAGTCAATATGTGTGCATCAGTGTGTGTGTGTGTGTGTGTGTGTGTGTAAATGCATGTGCATGTATCAGTGTGTATATGTATTTGTGTATTAGTGTTTAAATGTGTGTGTGTGTGTGTCTGCAGTGTGGTTGTGGTATGATATGGGCAATGCAAAGATAAAGTTGCAAGCAACATACATATGCATGAATGCATACATACATATAAAATACATAGGGAAACACATATATGATAATATACATGTTAAGGAATTTAGAATATGTGGGGAAATGTCAGGCTATACAACCATACCCAGCAATCGTATACAAATGATTAGCAATTTATGTCATATCTACAGTAAAAGTGCTCACAACGCGGCGGCATAGGGAGCTGCGGCAATTTTTTTCACTAATGGTGTAAATGGGGGGCCTCATGTTTGACTTTCGCCTAAGGCCTTGCAAAGTCTAGAGCCGCCTCTGCACACCCACATAGTGATGGGCTAGCAAAAGTCCTGAAGAATTGTAGATTATGCTAACGTAGTGTACCTATAATCTTAATTTTAATAATGACAGGAGGTGAATATTTTGCATAACTTTCTTTACTTTATGCCTCCAGCAGCACA